TTAACATTTTCTCAGGTCATATGGATTGTAATGGCGAAGGATGTAGATACACGTCTGTCATGAGGTCTTGTTGCATAATAATTTGACTTCATTTTGAACAGCTGCATTTCTCCAATAGAAACTGCTAAGCAGCCAGAACTTTAAATCAGTCAAGTAGCTCATTCCTCTTATTATTTCTTTTTCCCATAAGTCTTAGTTAGAGGCATGTTAAAAATCAGAAGAATTTTCCAAGAAGCGTTCTGTTCAACTACCAATAAACTGTCCCAGTTGTCAACTGGAATGAAGGATTTTTTTTTTTTTGGTCAGCTGGGTCAATAGAGGAAAAAAACAATCTAATCCTTAAATCTTGGGCTGCGAAGTTGTATCCTACATGTTCATTTTAGCTGTGTATGCCCATGGGGCAGAACTGAGTTTGGGAATATTCCTCCACTAGTGCTTGCCTGCAGAAAAAGCCTGACTGGCTGAGTACATTAGAAGCAGGGTTGTTTGTTCCCTGTGCAACGAGGTTGTAGTCATCGTGCAATTGCTGATTCAAGGGGTAGTAGTTGCTGCCCTGTGACTCCACTCCCTGGTCAAAATATTATTTTGTATGCAAGCAAACGTGTGATCATACACACAGGTGTACATAGGACAGAGGTAGGTGAGATAAAGTTGAGCCTGGTTATTGCTGCTGCGAGGAACTGAAGACTGTTTTGGTTTTATTTGTGGATTTTAGGGGAATATTAACAGCCTGTTGCCTAGCCAGTGCCTGTAGGTATAATTTGGGCCTTTAACTTTGATCTCCTAGTTCCTTCCTCCGGTATGTTCAACCCTGACCTTGTTCACCATGAACCAAGGCGAAGATGCAATCATTCGTGTGAAGACGTGAAACACTTGCATGTGATTTTTATCTGTCTGTTCCCATGAAACGATGCTCATAATGTTGGTAGTCCTGGAAATGCATGTAATATTGGTAATTGCTGTGTTATCAGTTGCTACGCGTATGTTTGATGCTATTCTGCTTCACACTACACATAGTTAATATTAAAGATTATGATTGCAGACATTAGTATAATAAAAACTTAGGAGGTTAAGGGGCTATGAAACTGAGTGCTGTGGGTGGCTGAACAGCTGCAGTGCTGCTCATTTTTTGACCCAGTTGAGCTAAAACAATGTATTCTTATTCTTCTGGTTTTGTGGAACATTTTGATGACCAAGCACAACCCCTTTCCACATTGAGTTTTGGGGCCTGAATTTTTACTGAAATTCTCATGTTTAGAGCAAGTTATTTTGACTCCCACAAGTGAAATATTTCAGAAGCACAGAAGCAAGACATAAGATTGTTACAGGAGGTATGTGTTTCTGATGTAGCTTGCTGCCTGACCTCTGCAGTTGCAGATTAGGGTCTGCAGATGCTGTCTGTAATGATGGCTTTTTTCTTTTTACCTTGTCTGTTAAGGTGTAATCTCATTTTACATTTGAAACACACACAAAATATTTCATTTTCTATGTGGTAAGAAACAGGACCTTTGGGAACTTTTTCCTGTAAAGAACCCACGTGATGGTGGACAGTCTGTACTATTTCAGGTAACGTGCAGGATTCGAGCAATCCGGGTTCTTTTTCATTTCTTCTCTTGCCAAGCTGACATGCTCTGGACAAGCAATATGTTTTCTTCCTTACTGTGTTGTGTCTGGTGACGCTGCAAGTTCTTTGGAGATGGTACTGTCAGAAAAATCTGTGTTTTTAATACTTAGCACAACGGGACCTGATACCAATTAAGTACTTAGAACGTAATTTTAACACCCACAATTTAATGAAACAAAAGACATCTAAAAGCCTTTCTGTTTGAACAGGCTCCATAAAAATGTCCTTTTTAACCGCATTAATCAGCTTTGAACGCAACCCTTGGATTCAACAATATTATTTTGAAGGTCCTCCCTTTCTGTTTAAAGTGGATCCTCATCATAATGTTTGAAATGAGCATAGCTGTTTGGGGCTTGTTTTCTAATCCAGAAATGTCAGCATAGCCCATGACTGTTTCTGGGGAAATCCTTGAAGTAGAGAGAAAAAAGTATCTCAAGCTATGAACTTCTTTTGTTCCCAGACAGCTTTTTAAAGTAATCTAATAACTACAGTTCTTATGCTTGTTTAAAAAAGAAAACTGCCTTGCATTTGATATACTCAGAAGTAGGTAGAGTAGATAGGGTTGTTAACAGTGTCGCCTTTCATTCCTGCTCTCTGCCATTATATGTAGTTAATCAGTCGAAGATCATTTAGCTAAGAAGCATTGTAGAAGAGAGAAGGTGTAAATTGTATATTTTTATTTCTGTCCACCATGGTCTTTTTTTTTTTTTTTTTACACCAAAAAAAGCAGTTGATTTCCCCCCCCCCCCCCCCCCCCCCCACTACTCAGAAAGGAAACCGACGTTTCTGAGCATGATATAAAATATCAAATAATGATAATTTTCCTAGCAGTGCCTTCTTACAGTTGCTGGTACAAGTTGTTCCCTTAACAGAAAGGAAACCTGGGGGGAGGGAGGCGGGGAAAAGAAAACCTGATGCTCTGTTTTCCTAAGGGAACGATGGAGGAAAGAAGCCTTACAACTTGTCTGGTCACCTGGGACTGTTCCCTTCTCAGCTTGGACTGCAAGTTACTAGTTTTGATACATTCAGAGAAGTAATCAGAAGCTTCAGGCACAACCAAAAACTGTTCCTGAAAACTGTTTTAATCTTGCCACCTTTGAAGCTGGAAAATCTTAATGAAATTTGATGGCAGATTGCTCTCTTGCTTTGCTATCAAGAATGTGTGGGTTCTCACTCCTCCCATTTCTCCACGTGTTCTTAGGCTCTGAATTATTGTTGCTTTCCTTCTGCCCAGCCTTTCTTCAAGTCTGCTGCTGCAAATGATGCTGTAGTTATCAAACCTTGTCAGCCAACACTGACTGGAAGAAACATTCATGTTGGTGGCCCTCCCCCTGCCAGCACAAGTGTTTGTGGAGCTCTGCAGTGAACTGGGCTGGTTAAAAACTCTGACTTCTTTCTGCTGAGTTAGTTTTTGTTTAGATCAGCTCTTTTTAGGGCAGTTTGCAACATGCAGCCTTGCTGCCTGTCGTGCTTACACCTGAGAAGGACTGATACAGGAGTAAGGACAAGCAGCCGATGGCAAAGAGAAGGTGGCTTAAGGTAGCTCAAAGCGTGCATCGGTTTATGTCCATGCAGTATAGCAAAATAGCTTGGGTGTGTTCAGACACTTTTTTTTTCCTAGATCCTTCCTTGTGTTTTATCACATCCTTGCAACCTAAGCACTGTTTCTTTTCAGCGCTTCTGAGATATTATTTGGAGATTACACTCTGATTTCCAAACCCAAAAGTAGAGAGCAGTACTTCAAGAGCAGATGGCGAATATAGTGAATATAGCAGATAGTGAGTATCATTTGGTTTTGAAATGCAATAGATTAAACTTCTGACTCTCCCAAACTCGATGCATATGCCTAGGTGCAATTTTCTCCTAGAAGACTCTTATGAGGATTTGAATTTCTGTTTTTGTGAGTAGTCTCAAAAAAGCATGTCCAATGTTGGTAGCTGGTGTTTTCTGGTCCAGGTGAAATGAAACAAGTGACTTTGTTCTGCTTTACAGTTTTGTAGTGTGGCTAAAAACTCATTGCCAGTTTTGAAACTGCATGCCACCAACTTAGTAACCAAGTAGGGAAAAGACTATGCTCACTCTTTATGTGCGAAGCATGTGGGTGAATGTGGGCAAAATGTCTGAAGTGGCTGGATGTTCTTCTGTGTCTCGGGTTTGTTCTGATAAAAGAATTTGCCGGAAAGACAACGCTGAAGACTCCATTGTCTTTGAAGTGCGCTCCAGGGTGTTGGCTGGCATCCTTTCCACCATCAATGAAACTTTGCAATTGGGAGGTGGAGTAGGGTAGAGAGAAAACTGCCCTGTTGCCTTAGTTTTGTATCAGCTTTCACCAAGTAAGAAATACTTGCTATACCTGTGACTTGTTGTTATTAGTTTGTCTAGAGTACTACTACTGTAAATTTTTTTTAACATACTGAAGTCTTCTGTTAGCACTGTCATTTATTATGTAGTGTTTATGTGTTGAAAAACATGTCTAATGCAGTGATACAACTAGTGGGAAGTTTGGTTGAGCTGGGAAATTCTGTATAACATGATGAAATGTTTGGACATACCCCACTTTTTTTTTTTTTGATTCACCCTAACAAAAGGAATGGCATTGTTCTGTATGTAGCCTGGCTGATCTACACTTTCATAACTTTTTTTTTCATATTACTTCTTTCCTGATAGTGGAAAAAGTAGTTTTGTAAAACTTTGTTTATGTAACCAATGTTAAAAAAAAAAAAAAAAAAAAAAAAAATCCCGATCTTTTTTTTACTTGGAGTGGTAGAGAAAGACACAGGTGCTATTTGATGCCAGCAGTGTTTTCAAGGCTAGCTTTATGAATATTGATTTATAATCTTTGTTAGATGTGCGTTCATACCAACTCTATTTTACCACTAGAGACAAGGTTGCTAGTGCTGTGCAGTCCTTTTTCATGGAGAATGCGGTAAATTGTGATACTAGCTGGAAGCTGGAGCTTGGTGTTTTCAAGCTGCACATTTGCATTGGTCAGGATGTATTGGATCTGGTTGTTGGTGTGCTCCTTGGGAATTCCACCTGTGTGTACATTTTTGTTTGGCTAATGGAGGCTGCTGATTTAAAGCAAATCTGTTGTCCTCAGCTAACTACCTGCATGGATTATTCTAGATTGAGGGTGCTATGTTCCATGTTTAGTGTAGGAGGCTGGGAGAAGGATACTGTCATTGTGAATTAAGAGTGCCAGCACAAGTATTCAGTTGAGAAGAACTGTTTAAGAGTAACTCCCTATTCAGACAAGGCTTTATTTCAGTGAAAGTGCTGTACTATATTGAAGTGTTTGTATTGATAGCAAAAGAACTGTGTTGCGGGGGTATTGAAGAAAAAAAGAAAAGGATACCATGAATGGTTTTCTCTCCAGGTGCTGAAGAAGTCTTGCTGCTTGCTAGAAGGACGGACTTGAGAAGGATTTCCTTGGACATGCCGGATTTCACTGACATTATTCTGCAGATAGACAACATCAGACATGCAATAGCCATAGACTACGATCCCGTGGAAGGCTACATCTACTGGACCGATGATGATGTCCGGGCAATTCGTCGGGCGTACCTTGATGGCTCTGGAGCACAGACTCTGGTAACCTCAGAAATCAACCATCCAGATGGTATTGCGGTGGACTGGGTGGCAAGGAACCTGTATTGGACTGACACTGGAACAGACCGCATTGAAGTGACCCGGTTGAATGGGACATCAAGAAAGATCCTTATCTCAGAAAACCTAGATGAACCTAGAGCAATTGTGCTCAATCCTGTAATGGGGTAAGTTTTATTTTCGTTAGTAGTCCTGTGGTAGGTCTTTGGGTCCAGCTTGTGATTTTATGAAACTGAAAGTCTGCAGGTTACAAGATGATTATTTGTCAAATGTTGTTTTTGATATGAAAATAACTTGCGTTTCTATAAGAGGTGACTACTAAATGCAGTGTTCTTTGAGTCTATAAGTTGCATGTTCAGTTGAATTTTTTTTATCTTTGTCTTCAGTAACGTAACTATTAAAGAATTGGGCCACTGCACATTTTCAGTAGTTGAATTTAGTTAACTGAGTTTAATTCATTTATTGCTGATGACAAAACAACAGAATGGTTGAAGTGGGAAGAAACCTCTGGAGTCATCTGGTCCAACCACTGCAGGGCCATCTAGAGCTGGTTGCTGAGGTCCATGTCCAGGCATCTTTTTGAAGATCTGCAAGGAAGGAGACTCCACAGGCGCTCTGGGCAGAGAGGATACAGCTGAAGTCAGTTGGTTGGTTTGTTTGGAAAACAGAAAGCTAGGATGTTTTGTCGAAAGCAGAACAGATCTTGATGCTTTTTGGCTGGAATGTTTTATGCATTGACTGTTTCTGCCCTTTCCTTTACAGCTACATGTATTGGACAGACTGGGGTGAAAGTCCAAAGATAGAGTGTGCTTATTTGGATGGCTCAGAGAGGAGAGTTCTGGTGAACACCTCCTTAGGTTGGCCTAATGGCTTGGCACTGGATCTTGAAGAGGACAAACTTTACTGGGGAGATGCAAAAACAGATAAAATCGAGGTGAGTAACAGACCTCTCTTGTTTACGTTTTCAGAAAACATGTTGTTGTTATATGCAGCTTTATGTCTTGGATGTATTTATCCATTTTGAGGGGGCAGGTTTTTTGTTTCAATAATATTTACAATAAATTTATCAAAACAAGACAGTAGAGAAGAAAAGAAGTATGTTTGTATGCTGTACTGATTCCAAAAACTTTCACATCAACTGCTATGTCAAGGGATATGCAGTCAGAAACTTCTGCATTGCTGGAAGTATAATCTAATTGCTTGAAATCTCATGTTTGATCTGAAGCTTTTGAAACAAATTGATATGCTGAGGTACAACCTCTTTTAATAATGTTTTGCATTTTCTATGGTGCTTGGAACTAGTATCTGAAATTGCTGCATGCAAAAGACTTGATGCAAGGTTTGTGTATGGGACAAAGTGGATGTGGAGGTCCTAGAGAGCCATATTTTGGTACCTTAATGATTATGTGGTGTCCAGACGCATGGGAGAAAAGTTGTTTTCCACGTACCATGACACTTAAAAGTACCTTCTGCCTGCCTTGAAAACAACGTAGGCATTCTGTCACACAATCTGGGGAGGGGAAATCCCTTTCATGACGTTGTATGAGTGTTTATGGAAAATATTAAATATTTCTTAGTTATTAAAAGAACTTCTGATAGAGTATGGCAGGATTTCTTTTTGTTCTCCTTTCTTTGGGAAGAAAATTTTTTAAATGCAAAAAATCCATCCTGTCTACCTGTTTACAAACTCCTTTATTTTTTTTTTTTATTTTTAATCAACCTGCTTTGTACATCTTATATGCCAGACAAAGCTGGAAAAATTATCTGCTTATTTGTTACGTGTGTTTCCAGCAGTAGGATTGTGAGGTGTCTCTGGAGATTCATTGCTTTAAATTTAAGATATGATCAAAGCAGACATCTGGTATTGGTGTAGTCATGGATGTTGACAATTGCAGAAGTAAGGCCTGAGATGTTCCAGGAGATGTTCTCATAAAGGAAATGCTTTTTTTTCCCCCTGTTGTTTTTGCCTCAGTATCCCATGATTAAATCATAGTCTAAAAGAATAATTGTGAAGTGTGCTACCACAGAAATGAAACAGCTTTTAGATATAGCAAAAAACAAAACAAAACAAAAGAACAACTGAGTCCTGAAGTAATTTCACTGAGAAGATAATAAATTAACTAACTGAAAGATGTGGAATCAGGTTCTGGGGCCAAGCTATTTGGGCTCTTGAAGTCATGTCCATGAGCTTCTGAAGTTTCACTGAATTATTAACAGTTGACTGTAAACTGTGGCACTTTAGGCCCAATACCAGTGAGATTTGGTGGCTTTTCCACCCCCAGCTCCCAGGAAATTCCAGCCTGAGAAGATACAGCTATGTTATTTGTGCAGCTCACCAGTGTTTTCTCTTGCAGCCTGCAACTTCCAGCTCCCGATGCATATTGAGCCAATTTGACATCTTACCCAGCAAGCATAGAAATACTGTTTGGCCTAGGACAATTGTTGCTGTAGGAGCACCAAACAGTTTAGAAGAGAGCTGGCAGTAAGGCATTTAATAAGGTGTTAGTGACAGAAATACCAATTTCAGGCCAATAGGTGTAGCTTTTCGCTATTTTTCTATGGCCAGCAGAAAAGGCATGATGTTAGCAAAGCAGGATGCTGCAGAGGTGATGGGGAAGAGAGGAAATTTTCCAAGAGAAAACAGAAAAATATGGATACAGCCAGGTGTTGTGAGGAGGTCTGAAACATTTGATTTAGATGCTGTTGTGTTCCCCTCTACTTTCAGTGCTTGGTTTCTTAATAAAACAGTTGTTTAGCAAGGTCACTTTATTGCTGGTGAACTTCCTAAACTTTCTTTATCTCGCATTTCTGAGAAGGAAGGAAAAAATGGATTTTGAAGCTCAACCTAAAGTTGTTGTAGTAGGCTATAATTAATCCAAAGGCTTGGTTGACAGCATGAGACATGACCTGAGGTCAGACAAATTTGAAAACTTTTATTCTATTATCATTAAATGATGAGATTTGTCATACTGACAAACGTTCATTTTTAATGTCTTGTTCTAATGCTCTGGGCATCTGGTGGAAACAGGTTCCTTGAGCTATCTCTGGTACGTTGTTGTTGTGAAGCAGTTGTTTATCTTTCACAAAGATGTCAGAAAAGCAGTTTGAAAATTAAAGGTGCTAAATAATTAGCTCTGAGTATTTTAATTTCAAAAGGGAATTCTCCAGGGAATTTGAAATGGCTTCAAAGTAAGATGAGGTAACCTAGCTAATTGAAATCAATTCGTAAACAGAATTGCCAAACCAGAATGGGATGAAGAAGGGGATAAAACTATTGCTTTAGAGAGATTTTCTTCCCTGTAATGTAAGTTTTCTTCCTATAATGCAAGCTAGTTTGTTGAGGTTGTGTTTTGACTATACTATATATTTATTAAAAAAAAAAGTCCATTTTTGTAACAGTACTTAGTAAAAGCAGTATAGAAACTTTACCCTTGTTCTGTGAAGTCAATTGAGTTTTCATGTTACTTGGGGGAATAGTATATACAGCATTTTAGGATAAATAAATTTTGGGGCCTTTGGTAATGTCTGTGCTCTCTAAAGTTTTTGCCCTCTGGAAGAAGTGAATCAAGACTGCTGGCTTGAGAAATATAACTTTGCTGTCTGGCAGTGTCTTGATGTACTGGGCTTGATGACTAGTAGAGGGGTTGTCTCCCTCCTTACCTTTCAGGCTGTAGCGAAGAACATTCTAGATTCCACCATTTGTAGCTGGAACTGTACTAGTGCAATTGATCTTCCTGGTTTAAGCAGTCTGTTCAGTCTGCCTGACTTCATTTTAAGACAGTAAAGCCAATGGTACTGTTTGATTTGGCATCTAAGTTTAGGAAAGTTGGAGAAGCCAAAGTAAGGGCTTTTTATTCCCTCAGTTTTTCTTTTGCTTATTATACTTTTAGTGGTTCTCTTCTGTTTTCAAAAATAGAGAGAAGAGGGTATTTTACTTGGTCTCAGAAACAGAAGGTATTTTTTTACATGAAGTGGATTGCAACATCTCTCTTTTGATTGCTGTATGTCATGCAACCCAGTTATAATCGTTAGTACAAAGATTTAAATATTTTATCTCTTATGTGCCTATCAATGAGTTCTTAGGTTAAAACAGGTATAAATGTTCCTGCTTTAAATCCCCCCCCCCCCTTTTTAACACTTTTTCTCTTTATGCTTGGTGTTTACTTTTGCTAGTTAGCATGAACAGACCCCTGACATTTACAAATCCCTAAATAGGCCCATTTAGGACGTGATGGGGGAAAAATATCATGGACGTTGTCTGGAGTTCTGAACAGTGCTGTGAAGGGGCCTGTTGTGGTCCACTGTGCAGCTGCATGAGTTAAAAAGGCACTGGCATGCCATCAGTAGAAATGAATGTTAAATGTCTATTGCAGAACGTCCATTAGAAAACAAATTTTCATTTTCCATTTTGGAACAAATGCCAGACATTTGTATTCTGCTCACTTGGGAAAGAACTGCATGACTTAACTGGTTATTGACACAGCTTAGGTGTTGGCTGGTTCCAGACTGGTCTCCAGTAGAGCTTCTTTTTATTAATACTTCTCTGCAAGATCAAAAAACTGCAGTAGGGATATGTTTCAGAATAGAAACATTTATCTAATGGATTGTATTTCATATCTCTTGTTTATCTTGCTCTATTTGCAGCCTTATAATTGCTTCCTGAAACATTTCTCTGTTTGAGAGCTTCCTTCAATACCCTAGGTTTGCCTACTAAGCCACATTTCATGCTGCTCTGCTAGCCAAAGTACATGTGAAGTTCTGTGTGTATGGTATATGAGGTGGGACATTTCCACTTAGTGTTGAAGTTATTCTTCACTTTAACATGAACTCATTCTTCTCATGTATGTGTTCTTTTGCCAAGAGGATGCTATATAGATGGCTTGCCAGCACAGCTGGTGTCTTGGTGATTTCTTCTGTGTGTCTGTCTGTTGCATCCACAGTTTGTCAAAAACAAAGCCTAGCTTAGCTGCAAGTTGAGGATGTGTTTAATATTTTCTACTGTTGTTGACTTAGCTGAGTATTAAGATTTTTTTTTCTTTTCACTGTTGAGGACATAAAACTATCTAAAAGAGTAGTGCTGGCTAAACTTTCCTCTGACCCTGTAGTTTCACCCGCCTCAAAATGTCCCAGCTGACTGTGTAGAAATTGCAAAACTGAATTAAACTGAAAACATTATTTCTACTACTTTGCAGAGTACAGTTGCAATTAAAGTCTGTCTGGGTGGTGGAAAAATGAGTGTTAAGCCTTATGCCTGATAATGTAAAAAGTGCACTATTAAAAACCTGTACACTTTTTTGTAGGTTTCTGAAGAGCTGCTTGTAGAATAGAATTGCTTTCAGCCTATGTATTCAACTGCTTTCTATTCAGGGGAAAAAAAAAAGCAGGAGTGAATTTAGCTTGTGTATATTTATGCATCTCTCTGCTTGATATTCTTTTTGCTAGACCTCAGGTTTCAAATGTACTGTGACTATCTGGTGTGCTTGTGGCTTTTTTTTTCCAATTATTATTATTTTTTTCTTGTTTGTTTTATTTAGTTGGTTTTGGTTGTGTGTTTTTTTTTTTTTTTGGTGTTTTCTCAGTTGTTTTTTGGAGGTGTATTTGGTAGGTTTTGATTTGGATTTTTTTTTACACATTTTGACATTGCTTTTGAGTGTGCTCTTTGAAAAACAGAAAAGGAACACTGCAGAGATGCTGAAGGTACCAAGCAGTGTCCTGTACCAGGAGAGTATGTTCTTATTTGTGTGCCTAAAACTTCACGTGGTGCAAACAGCAGTTACTCTTTCCTGACGGAGACCTTCCCATCTGCAGCATTCAGCTGCAACACAAAGGGCCCAGTCACTTTGCAAGCAGTTCGTATCCTGAAGAAACCATTTGGCAAGGCTTGTCAAACTTTGCGTGACAGCAGCCTGTGAGGCTTTCACTGCAAATTTGGCA